TATGTGTGTGTGTTGCATGTGTGTGTGTGTGTGTGTGCGCATGCTGCACGTTCATGTATGTGTGTGCATTTAAGTGTGTTTGTGTCTATTTGTGTGTGTGTGTGTGTGTGTGTGTGTGTGTGTGCTGCATGCATGTTCATGCATGTATATGCGTGTGCGCAAGCTGCATGCATGCTTGAGTGTTTATACCTGTGTTTGTGTGTTCCGCATGCTTGTGAGTGTTCATGTGTGTGTGTGATGCATGGGTGCGAGCGTTCATGCATGCATGCATGCGTGTGTGTGTGTGTGTGTGTTGTGGCATCAGGCCTCTGCTTTGACTGCAGGATTGAGCTGAATGTGATTTACTGCTGGGTTTGGCTTCAGTTTGCTAACTGGCTGTTTCTGAGTGTCTGTTTTGTTGGCAGTGCTGTTTCCAACGGTTCTGCAGTGTGTGTGTGTGTGTGTGTGTAGAGGCCTCAACCAGCAGCATATGGCATAGTGAGCAGATCTGAGTCTGCTTTCCAGTGTTCTGGGTTCGGGGTCTGGTGTTTGTGTGTTTGCTCCGCTTTCGCATCCTCTCAGCGGCCGCAGGGCATGAAGTCATACTAACACACAAAACACCACAGTAAACAAGGCCAAATCAAAACCTTCCTCTCATGGCCGCTACATGGCTTATGTAACAGAGACACACTCATGGCTACTACACTGCAAAGAGAAAGAGAGTTCGTGTCTTGTTTCCAGTCCAAATACCTCAACATTGTTAAATTCATTCATTCATTTTCCTTCGGCTTGGGCCCAATCCCAACTCTATTTTTGTACCCTTCTACACTACGGCCAATATAGTTCATGTAGTTCCCCTATAGCAGATGTGTTTGGACTGTGGGGGAAACCAGAGCACCCTGAGGAAACCCACACCAACATGAGAACATGCAAACTCCACACAGAAATGCCAACTGGCCCAGCCGGGACTCAAACCAGCAAACTTCTTGCTGTGAGGCGATAGTGCTAACCACTGAGCCACCCCTGCACAATAATGTCAATATCATAAACAGCCATGTACATTTACTTCACATTTAAATTTGACTTGGAAATGTGTGATTTTTTAATGTTATTATTGGCATGTGTGTGTATTTCCAGGTGTGTGACCTGTCCTTCAGTTTAAAGAAGATGTTGATCAGACACAAACTCACCCATAATCCCAACAGGCCGATGGCTGAGTGCTCCCTGTGCCACAAGAAGTTCACCCGCAACGACTACCTCAAAGTGCACATGGAGAACGTCCACGGAGAGACGGAGGGATAAACTACCATACACTACACATGCACACTTAAGGGATCGTTCACGCAGAAATGACTTTCTTTCTCCAGTAGAACACTGCAGTAGTGAACAGGTTTATTAGATTGAATTAAACGCATACAAAATGAGTCCAAATCAATAGCCACGGCTTCTGATGACACACTGAGGTCGTGTGAAGCGAAATGATCACTGTGTGCAAAAAATTGAACATTATTTACAATATTATACGCTTTGATCTACAGTGTGAATATACTCAGGTTGTAGTCTGATTGCTTTGATTACAAGTGTTTGAGCAGGCTGCAGGTTAAAGCTAATGATATTGTGAATAATGTTCAGTTTTTTACACGGAGCGATGGTTTCTCTTCACAAGGTTTCTCTTCTCAGTATGTCATCAGGAGCCATGGTTATTGGGTCAGTGTATCTTTTGGTCTTTGGATTTTCATTTTAGAAATGGATATTAATAAACAAAAACGAGCCGTTTTTTGATTTTCGTTTTCACATTTAAAAGCGAACATTAAAATACGAGGCGTTTTTCCTTTTTATGGTGAAAAACGAAAAAGCTAAGTTAATAAATGATTTGATTTTCATTTTTTATTTTGAATAACAAAAAAATAAAATCACCCGAAAACAAAAACAAATAAAGTCTTGCGTTTTATATTCTGAAGTCAGACGGCCGACTCATTAACGGTGACGCAATGCTGACCTGCTAGCCTACTATAGGCTATTACTTTTTCCCACTGAATAATGTTATAAAAGGTATTTCTTATGATAACAAGATTTTGTTAATACATACTTTCCTCATTGACCTGGTTATATGCAGAAACATTATTGACCATATATGCATTATTTGCATTGCTGAACAGTTTTCTGAAAATCAAGTTTATTGTTAAAATCACTTACACTTTAGGAGTGACAGTACCATTGGACATTCGTTTGGAATCATTGCTCATCTCTCCGTGTTATATTTTATGTACTTTTATGCACTTTATTATTTTAATTTGAAAGGCGTTCAGTGTGTTTCAAAAACACCGTCATATAACTAACTAAAGCTTTTTAATACATGAAGATTTTGAATACATAAATTGAAATAATAA